GTCACAAACGGGAATAAAGATTACAGAAATTGAACGTTTTTCGTAATCTTTGATCGGCCCATTCTCAAATGCCTTTCTCCGTTCCTCCTCTCATTCCGTTTGAAGCTTGCCGAACCCGTAATTCCCTGGTCCATTTCAGATTATAATCTTTGCAATTGGTGAAAATGTAATCTTTATTCCCGTTTGTGAAACTGTGGAGGCCTAAAATACGGGAACCAATCAGAAATGGATTCAAATTGTCTTGACTCTCAGTATAAAGGGACTCTAGTGAAGTGTAGGTCCGTAGGTGCCACTAACCACCAATCAATATAACACTATTGTTTGAACTCAAAAGGCGAATTTTCAAAAGTGGATTTGGTTAAAGGTTTTAACTTACTGCCAACCTCCGTTACAAGAGAACAAAATTTCCTCCTGTCGCCAGTCGCTTACAACATTCAGTTCATGTTGGCAGCAACGAAGACCCTATCCAAAATTCTCGACCCATCTCCCGAGGTGGCTCAAAAATGGATGGATGCAAACGTTGGTCATTGAGCAGCTGAATTTTGTTCTTGACTTCAGTGGAGCGGTTTTCTCCTTTGGTTTGCAACCCTGCTGATCTTGTTGAAAAAATAAACCTTAGTCATTTGTGAGAACTTGCCTTAACACCTACCTTGTTAATTTAACCAGCATTTCGTGTAAACATGTGAGCTTTGAAGAGAATTTAAGGTTCAACATTCTATGGTGAAAGGATGAAGCCTGACATCTTGGTCTGTGACATCACAGATTTCCTGTTTTTTTTTTCTTTTCTTTTCTTTAAGTTTAACTGATTATTTTTATGGCATACCTAGTATTTCGTCTAATTTTTCTGTACCCCCACAGAAATTTTATAAAAAAAAATTCAGACTAAATGGTCATTGATCAAGTAGTGCACATTAATGAAGAATATAATACCATTTCCAGACAAAATTAAGCACTTGGCAATTTGCGAATATAGGTGTTGCACAGGTGGAAAAAACACTAACTAAAACCAGATTTGCGCTGATTTTACTGTATTTTGGAATATGATGAGATGATCAGTGAAATTTGTTTTGCACCATTCCACCTCGCTGTATCACTCGGTTTTTTAGGGGCTCTCATAGCTTTTGAGCCTGGCTGCTTGGGTCCTATCCAATACCTACCTAATTATTTGACGTCATTAAGCTGAACGGATCAAAGGGATTTTCAAAGAGTTATACAGGATAAATGAAACAGAAAAGCTGTAGGTAATGATGTTTATCTTGGATCATATTTTTTCATGTGAGTCAGGTTTGTGTTCGCTATGATTTATTTCCGTCAAAACATCGGTTTCAACGCGTCAGACACTGTCAGTATTTTCCAACAAAAAATCGCAATAATTAGGCACGAAGACCCCTTCCCTCCCCCCCCCACTCCCTTTAAAAAAAAAAATAAAGAAAAAAGTCAGAATAGAAGGGAAACAACTTGAGGAAAATCGCTTTGCCCCATCTGAAACTTTACCCAGGTATCCGAGCGAAATAAAAACTCGAAAACAGTCAATAGATGCATTTTATTGTTGCACTTCTTAATTCCTGAAAATCTGGATCGACGCAACAACGGTTTTCAACTCCTCTAGCTCAAATCGATATTGATTTACTCGAAGTTTTAGGAAAGTTCCATTTTTCCGTACTTAATTTGAAACTTCCATTCCATCCATTGTGAGCACGTGGCATTATTGAAGGTAACTCTCGTTTCTGAGTGTGGCATTTAAATGTCCGTTAAAGAGTCCTGAAGAGCGAAAGCAGAAGGTACTGTATTTAGTGTGACTGTGGGTAATTATTCCATCATTATCAACACTCGTTTTCAACGAGTGAGGTCTGTGATTTCGATTCGTGCTCTACTTGTTCAGTGAAGCAGCCCACAGGGGTGATGCATGTTGCTTCTTCAGTCGATCATTCGTGTAACGGTTTTTCGATCTTGTCTTGACCTATACATCGATGGCCAAAATGCGAAACCACGCAACTTCTTTGGGATGTCTCAAAATTTTCGCTCCTATCTTATTTTTTCGAAACAAGCCAACTTTACTCATGACCTGAAATTTAAACTGAATGTTCTGCAAATAAGGAAGGAAAATCGAGGAAGTTCTGTCCTCCGAGCCCCTCAATGTATATCGAAGGGTAGAAAGAGACAGCTGGAATAAGAAAATTTTACGCATAACTCTTGCATTTTCCCCATAATTAGCAGTGATGACGCGGAATAACGTGTTATAATTTTCAGTTCTCAGCTTCCTTGCTCCCCGAGTGCCAAAAAACTTAGCAACGTCTGCTTTCTTCGATGTTGTTCTCACTGTTCCAAGTTCCCTGTACCCATTCCAATACTGCCGTGCTAAGGAAG